GCCATTCCTGAGTTTGGCTGTACATCATTGCGGATATTGAACATTAGAGTATGTGATTATAATGTACTTTATTTTTTTACCTTTGCGGCCAATTCTGTTTGAGCACGGAGCTAGGATTGTTGTTCAAAAATTGTAGCATCTTTTATAAATTTGTTTGTAGAGGTAACAACCTTTGTCATGTTTATTCAATCAGAATTTGATCTTACTTCTCTTTTTTCAACAAAAAAGTTATACTTGTTTCAAAATGGACAATAGATTTTCTTTTCAATCACTATCTACGAGCATATTACATGCAAATGATTTGCAATGTATTTAGGAAATGAGTCATTTTCTTGTGAAGATAGCTCGTATTCCAAGTGAGAGGGTAGAAGATTTTGTAGATGATGAAGGCAAAAATAATATAAAATTTGAGACAATCTTTTCAAAAAAGACGAACCAATGATAAACTAGGTTAGAAGACTGATTAGATCAAAAGGGTAACTTACTCGTGTGTAGTTGAATCATTTAATCATACTTCTTGGAATTTAAACACAATACCTAATAAGTACACCTATAGGTGACAGTAGTAGACCCGCAATCAAGAAAAATAAACTTCAATGATCATTTGAAAAGAGTATATGTTTGTACTTTATTGTTACATATTAAAAATCTGAACTTGATACTGCAGTTATATCTCACAGACAAAGGTAAGTGTATTTTGTTTGAATGTTTTTAAAGTTTGGATTTTTTGATGTATATGTTATCATTGTGCAATTTTTATTTCATATGTATATATTAAAATTAACTTGAATTTTACATTTGTATTGCAGAAATCATTGTAATGATAAAAGCAAGAGGTGTCACGGAAAAATTGCAAAAAATGAAGTTCTTCCTAGAATCAAGGTTTTAATGCGAGAAACATTTGTGTTGAAAAATCAAGAGAAGCGTGAATGCAAATAGAAAAAAATGACATCAAAAAGTGATAGCATAGTGAATAGTACATAACACATTAGCTGTGATGAAATAGTCATTGCATGACTTGAGAGTTTAGAAGCAATGTCAAGTAAAAACAATAGTGGTCGCAATAACAAAAGTCAAATTCTTGTCAATGTTTATTAGGCCAAATGGCATAACATTGAAAAAAAGGCCGTGAATTGTTGACATGTATCATGATGCAAAGAAAAGCAATTCAATTGTGAAAAACTATCTAAAGAAAAAACTTCATCTTAAACATACAAGAGATTTTTTGGTAAGTGACTTTAAGATGCATTGAATTGGATTGTTTATAGTATAATCAGATGTATGTATTAGTTATGTCTTTCAATTTGTTCTTATTTTTATTGTCATGAATATGTTATCACTTGTGAAAACTTACAGTCCTTGGACTTAACTCTTCAAGATGTTAACGGTGATAGTATTAATTATCCAAATGTTATTAATGATAGTCAAGCTCTGCTAGAATTTATTACAAATTTGAGCTGTCATTAATGATGACAAAGTTCTTCATGATGCTATGCTAGAAGTTTGGAAGAAAAAAACAATTAGATGAGAATTGTTAACATGTAGCATTCATTTGAGTGAAATACGTAAGAATAAAAAACCACAAACTGAATTGAATACAATCTCTTTGTTTGCGACTAGATTTTTCACGCCAAAACGTCTAGGTAGAGAGCTTTCAAGCTAGCACAAAAATGATTAATATAAATTATGATTTCATAAAATGAATTGATTGATAATTAAGAGGTAAGTTTCATTCATTTTTGCTAGTTTTGCTTGGTTTTAGAGATTGATCATTGCCGAAGACTACCCAATATGTATCTGACAAGTGAGAAAGCAAAGTTATCAGCCGAGAAGTTCAAAAACTTTACTTTGCTGTTTTTTTATGTCTAGAAGTTTGTACTTTTGAATTTTATAAAGATTTTTTTCATCTTGTCACATATTATTCTCTCTCCATAGTTCACAATTTTGTGGTGTTTTGATGAAATGGATGTCATGCAGGTCCATTTGTGTTTCCAATGAAATCATATGCCTAGATCATATGTGAAGGAAGTTGTATTTCTGTACAATCAACCAGTATTTACAAGATGAGGAATCTTTATCATGTTTCTATTTTGAAGATTTCAACAATTATCCAAGACATTTCAAGAGGCGTTGTGGAGACATTTCAAGAGGTGTTAAAACTTTACTTTGCTATTTTTTCTATGTCTAGAAGTTTGTACTTTTCATTTTTATGAAGATTTCTTCATCTTGACACATATTATTACCTTCAAGAACTCGTCAATGATAGTGATCCGTTGCAACTTCTAAGCCTTTTGAATTTCAGTTTTTGCATGTTTCAATAGCTATTATGTTATCACAAAGCTTTTTACTTGTATATATCTTACTCTGAGTCTCTGAATACCATCTTCAGCTATGAATGCACCAGACATATGGAGCAGCCTCACCATGTTTGTGCAATCTTTCTCATCTTTTTGTTGGAATTTTCACGTTGAATATTTCATAGTTCGTGATGTGTGTGATGATCAGACGACATGCCAAATCTACTGAAATTCTAGTCTGACTGTCATCATGTATCTTAAGCCACTGGAGTCATCCCTCCTTACAAAATATCACAATCTATTCAAAAGCAGGTAGAGAGATTGCAAAATAAATCTTCGCAATGCAATGCTTGCATGTTGTTGTTGATCAAAATAGTAGAACAAAGATGCAGAGAAGTTTGATTGATTTTGGAGTCCAACGAATTTTCAAGATGTGTAGTCGGATCCTTGCATGGTCATAAGACTACAACTCAGTCCTACTAAGATTCAGTATAATATAATTAGAGCTTCCTTTACAGCATGACATAACTAGTTGACAGTGAAGCAAGGATTGTGAACATACAGGTAGGAAAGTGGGGCTAATTCATTATGAAATTTACTTACGGTCTTACGCTATTGCTATATGCAAAATTTCATTGCATGCAGTAAGACCAGTTCTCTCACACGTACGGTAAGTAGACTGTCATAAGAGTACCTCACAGAGCAAATACTCTTGTATATGTCATTTCCTGCATCAAGATTTTGAATGCAAAGTAATCCGATGGACGCATTGTTCTTTCTGCTCGATCATCGTTTAAGCAGATGACTTGTTAAACAAATCCTTGCGCATCAAAAACCCAATAGTGAATAGCAGAAGATCAAATCATTTAGAACACGGGCACCTCGGTAGCCTTGTACTCCTTACTCATCACTTTTGTTATTGGAAACTGTGAAAACAATAGGTTAGACTATCCAGAGGCAAGTCACGTCCAGTTGAGAATGGAGTCATCACTCCTTACAAAATATCACAACCTGTTCAAAAGCAGTGTAGAGAGACCTCATGATAAACCTTCACAGTGCAATGCTTGCATGTTTTTGTTGATCAAAATTATAGAACGAAGATGCAAAGAATTCCAACTGATTTTGGAGTCCAACAAATTCCCAAGATGTGTAGTATGATCCTTGCATGGTCATAAGACTACACCTTTGTACTGTCGCCTGTCAAGTCGAAGTGGACTAAGAAAAGTTGAGGTGTAGTTGACAGCTGAGGAGGTGACACTTCGACGGTTGGAAGCACTCAGCAAGTAGAGATGAACTCCCCCAGAAGCTATATACCAAAGCTACTTTTCTCGTTGATGCAACAAATTCATGCGTATAGTATAAAAATTTGGTTACTATTATTTTAAAGCTGTTATAGAATGTAGATCTCATGCTCCCCTAAAGACAGAGCCTTCAAAAGCTATAAGCGTTTCAATCAATCGAGATAGAGGATTTGATTGATTAGTATATTGTCAAACACCTTTCCACACCAGATTGCGATACCATAAGAAATCAGACCATAGAACATTTATCAAGAGACATCAATTTGACTATCTAGATATTCATATTTCTCAAAGCCACCTCCTGCGCATGTAGAGCTGTGGAGATAAGACAAGTCTTCGTAATCAAATGCGTGAATTGAACTGATTTGAAAAGTCTCATGCTTTCGAAAACAACCGTTTGAAGGAGTGGAGACATAGAAACACAATATTTCATATTGAGCAGCATCGCTTTAGTGGTTGCAACTTGATGCAAAGTTGGTAGGATTTGAAGAAATTGGGATGGATTTGAGATGAGATGGTATGAGCGACAGACAAGGCAGCGACGGGCAATTTCACTCTGCCATGATTCTTTATGTTTCTGGTCCTGAGCTGTGTGAGTGACGGAGCGCCTGTGCGCTTGCTGTTGATATTGCGGCGGGTAATGTGTTCTTCGACACGAGTCTCACATAGTCTAACCATGTGTCGAATTTAAATACCAGAGGGTGGAAGCTCGACGGTTGAACTCTTCACGCGAAGGTGACAAAGGAAAGACCGTCACGACCGTGATAGTACGCCCTAGGCTAACAAGCATTAGGTCGGGGTCATTTGTTCTAGCCTGCAGACTTGTTGGGGTCTTCCATGGATTTGTATTATGAGTGGGGGCTCACTTGGAAAAGCCTTTTGACCCGAAAAGTCAATCGCTTCCGCGTGCATCGCAGAGTCTCCCTATGGCAAGATCACAGCAATGTGCTTCTTAAGGCGTCGAAATTCGCGAGAGACTTTTGTCAATTATACCTACGAAAGCGGCTGACCGTCTGGATCGCACGCAAGCTTATGATGCACACATAGTGCTCGAAAGATAACCCCGAGCATGCGATTCGGGGCCTTCGATCACTTGAGCTCTGAGCTGCGTCAGCGGGCATGTATCGCGCTCAGATGCTCGCTTATCCACGACACAGAACTGTTGTTGTAAGAAGCCATAGATTTGGCCGGTCTTCGTTTCGAGCCCTGCTGCTGACTTTGCGGTGAGCACAGAACCCGTTGACGGTCGTACGGACGGAGAAGCCCTGCCATCCATCCGAGGAACCGTTCCGACCAGTACGAACTCCGTGACATTCTTCCGTCGTCCCTTGGTCGAGTCCGGGGCACAACTTGGCCCTTCCACCGTCCACGCGCTGCTCAGGCGGTCTGGACAATTTCGCCGGGATGAGACTAATGCCGGTGGAATTGCTCGTTTACATTTAGGCTTGCACCCGTGTCCGCCACTTGTGCAACACGGACTGGACTCTATTGGTTCGGGTACTCGGCCCTGAAATCAGTCACGGAACTAGATTCCGGAAAGCTCAAAAGCCACCGTCGAATTCTTTGTGGCAGTTTGGATCCTCTGGCACAGAGTCAGGGACGAAAGATTCTGATTGCCCGATCGGCCTCATTCGTCGATCGTATCACGAGGTGCATTCATTCTCGAGAGCGCTTCGGTGAAAGGTCCATCGGGCGTGCTCAGGCTTATTGAACAGAGGGGAGTCCAGGTGGCCTAGGACAGTCGGAGACGGCGTATTTGCCCACTTTCCTGGACGACATGAATGTGGAATCGGAGGCCTTGCGCCTCTTGAACGCCGCCTCTCAACTGCCCGCACTCGTCGTGTTCGATCTCGATTACACTCTGTGGCCTTTCTTCTGGTACGATTTCAGTCGTTGTGCTCGCTTTTCTCCACTGGATCCTTGTACTTCTCGCTTCCTCTTCAGCTCCAGACTCGGTGTGGTGTGGAGCCGTCGGGAGAAGTTGAAACGGGGCAAGTGGGTGTGAATTAACATGCTTCTATAGGGGATGGAAGGGCAGGCCAGGGGAGGGGGCTGGACATTCAGCCACGAACGCTTCGAGATGTGATGAGCCTTTTCAGATGGGCATGGAGGACTCTGATACCTTGTAGTAATTGGCGGGAACGATGCTTGTTCTCCACATTTTAGATTCAATTGCAGTAGTGCATGATTTTTTTCAGATGACTGGAAGTGGCGGTTTGTTCTTGCATGGCAGTAGTTGCTGCTGTTCAATTGCATGTGAGTTCATAGTGTAGGATAGGGGATGGCCGGTTCAGTTTGTAAAATTCGGAGGATTTTTACCATCCATCGGCTGATTCTGGCTCTTGGCCTGGGATGCGAGTTTTGCAGTCATTGGCGTAGGATCTATGGGTACTGCTGTGGCAGCTCTGAGAAGGTCGAGGAGCCAACTTTATAGAATGTAATGTTAGGCAGTTACTCCTACATGAATGAGCTATCTTTGGATGGACTAGCGAGACCGGTAGCTTCAAGGTACAGATTTACGAGGCACGGGGATTTCGTTGGCGCTTGAAAAGAGCGTCGTCGGGAGCGAGTTGAAGTCTGACATTTATGACATTTGCTGGACGAACGAGGATGATGTGTCCCTCTTAAACCTTGTTAAATTCTTTTATAATTTTTGCCACTATGGACTGAATTGGCTCCGTCCTTGGTTTTGTCTGTTTCTAGTGAATGCCTCTCCAAGAACGACAATCCGGTGCTTTATCCACAGGCAAAAGGGATAATCCAGGCGCTGAAATCGAAAGGCATTTCAATGGCTATTGCATCACGATCACCCACTGCCGATATTGCACGGACATTTCTTTCAAAACAGGATATACTTTCTAATTTTCCTGTCATGGTAAGGTGAACTATGGAACTTTCTTAGACAGGAGTTTGTTGCTTTGGATATTGCATTGTCCAGACACAGTTTGCCACGAGATGTAGGAACTGTATTTCAGCTATCACACGATTTTGCGAATTCCTTCCTCGGATGGCACAGTGCCAAAAGACTTGTGTACGGATATGCAGACTGATTGGTTTAGCAGTATTTCCTTCGACTCTGTATACTTATGACTGCTTACGTCTTATGGTGCAAAAACCAAATCCACTCACCGAAGTTATTTTTCGTGTAAGTTATGGTGCAGGAAATTTACAGCAGCTGGACTCACAAAACGGACCATTTTCGAAAGATTCATCAAAAGACAGGCGTACCTTATAATTCCATCCTCTTCTTTGATGATGAACACCGCAATATACAAGCTGTACGGTCTCCCCCTGTAAATTCATGCTATGATAATATGTTTGTGTAATCGTTGGATCAGATTGGTGAGATTACTCATGCAGGTATCAAATGTTGTTTGGGGAGTACGACTGAAGATCCTCCACAGAACAACGTACTTCAGTTGTGCTGTATTTTGTCAATATAGTTCCATGGGTAAATGTACTTACTTGTTTGCAATGAGTGGATAGGGCGTGTGAGGGTTTAGGGTTTAGAGATTGCGAGTGTTCTTTGAACTTTGAAGCTTGTCGTGTAATGTGCAGGTGAGAAATATGGGGGTTACTTGTGTGCACGTTTCCAGTGGTGTCAATCTTGATGCCTTAAAGACGGGCCTTCAGGGTTTTGCTGGTACAAATTCTGATCCACAGTAAGTTCTAGATCGTTAAGTGGATGTTGTGCTGGAGCAAGAGGTTGTATTTTTGACATGTCTATTTACAGTGAAATACTGACCAACTACAACGAGAATTCTTGCAGAACTGGTCACATTCGCTGCATCCTTTTTTTATTGAACTCTTAGCTTCCGTAGCAGCCTTTTTCCCAATGATTTGTCTTTAGTTTAGTCTAATCATGAGGTCATCTAACTATTTCAGTATCTTCAATTTGCGTTGTGATCTTTGTCCTGTGTTCTTGCTGTGTTAAAAGAGTATCCTTTATTAGACAATGTCGTTCTCGCTAACCAGATCCAACGACTGTTTAGTCGTTTGAAGCATATTCTCAAGCAAGGTTTCAAAATTGTACTTGTTAGTGTAACCTGAAGACCATTGATCACTGACCACTTTGGGTCTGTTGATTCGGTTTCAAGCATAGAGAGAAGTTCCATTGTGAGATTTTTATTAAAACTTCTCACCTAGTTTTAATTCTAATTTGCACATGCAGACTGCTCTGCTGGCCGTCAGCACGCTCTCACAGAGTTATGGGGGAGTTTCAAGTCTAGCTTGTTTGCTTGCTGTTGGTATCCAGATTCATCTATTCACAGAGGATTGACTGAGGATTTGCACTCGGTCTGATGTCCAGGTATCGAACACTTGGGGCCTGATAATCAAGCTTTCCGGCAAAAAAAAGTGACGGACTTTTTCAATAAACGAGGGAGTAAAAAAGACAAAAAGGAGGAAGCATGAAGAAGTTCAGGAGGTGCTTGTTGTTTGTCTTGAGGCCTTTGGACATCAAAAGGTATGTCCAGTCTTGAGGTCCACCACTTTTCTTGAGGTCTCTCTGTGCAGGTTCCATGCTCTTTGGACGGTAAAATATACCTCTGATTGAGCTTCCGGAGATTGTGACATCTGACAAACTTTCAAAATGTCTATCTCCTGACCAAGATACTCTGGGGGGAATCCAAGAAGTCTTGTTCCTTGTCTTCGTCACTGGCCGGTCTGATTCGTAGATCCCCAATTCCGTTTCGGAATGGTGAGTCATAAACGCCTTGGTTTTTAAGAGATTTTTGCGTCTCGCTTGTTAACTATCAGAATTTCATCAGTAAAGCAGTTATTAATATTCCAATGTCTTTATCGAAATGTACAGTTGCTGTAATATCTCTCCCATCTTGGTTTTGGTTCGGGTGTAGACTTCACAAGAAGATAATAGCTCCTGCCCTTATAATCACCTTGAAAAGTTCCCAACCTCACTTTTAGACCACCCAGATGTTAACGTTTTCTGCTCAGTCTCAGAATTTCTCGCCTCACGTGTAATAGACCTAGACCATTCAGGTCTAAAAATTTTGAGGTAGACAACTTAACTTCGTTTCATAGCTCAACACTTCAACACGTTATGGTGCCCTTAGGTGCGAAATCTTTTTGCTTAGATGAGAGAGGCAGCTGCCTTCCTCTCTCCCTCCCTAACAATTTTCATGCACTGATAGAAAGACGTGGAAATATCGTAAAGCCACGTACAGAGAACTTCTCTGTACGTGGCTTGACTGGACTATGATTTCTTCCCTCCCAGCTTTTATATTAAGCGCTCGGTGCACAGAGCCATAACTGGTTCTTATCCGTCACTGACTCCGTGCTAGGACTTGCGAGAGGTTCTGGAGTTCAAAGTCTCATCAGAACTTTATCTTACACACTCGTGAAATTTTCAGGGACGCATCAGGAAGTTGAAAACTATGTACTATATATACTCATCGTTCCTTGCGATGGGTAGATCTGATTCGTCGACTTGAAGGCTGGTGAGCTTTTTTCTGTTCAGATTTTCCGAAGCCGAAGTCCAGCTTTGGGACTCGTAATGGATTCTTGGCATTCATGTCACGGGAGCGTTAAGATTGTTAAGCTACGCATTTCCTTTATAATTTTGTCCAGTGCATCTAAGCTAAGGTAGTGGAGAGCTGCATATAAGCTCGAATACATATCTACAATTTTCACGTGTCCAAAAACTTTCTCAATGAAGAGGAACATTTTCTCTTATCATAGTCTTGTGAGTTGCTGCGACTACGAAAGCCTGCCAGCTTATGAATGCTTTTCCATATATATGAAACACAAATCGGATTAATCATCTAGTAGATGACTCGCAAAAAGTGTGCGGGAGCTGATCAGGGGATGCCAGCAATGTCAGTTTGGGAAAAAAACAACCTCATTGCATTGTTCATTTTTGTGAGGAAGCGTTCCACATTCATCAGGTGGTATGACACGTTTCTATGACTTCGCCCTCCCAACCACGATTGCAGAGCCAATCGAAGACTGTATGCTTTATAAGTCATGAATTGTAGTTTTATCTGTCAAGGGTAAAGACCGCAAAACGCAAATGGTCAAATTAATAACCATACTTACGGAGATTGGCGATGTGTAACAAGTCCACGAGGAGTGAATATCAAAATCGTTACCTCAAATCTTAATCCTGGGAACGATAGGCTAACAAGAACGCGAAGTTGGCTAGGTGCTAGACAGAGTGCAGATGCGATCCGATCGATCATCTCTTGAAAATTGCAGTGTGATATCTGGGACGTTTCACGTTCTCAGACCAAGAGACAGCACTGAAGAAGATGTCTAAGTTGAATGATCAACACAGCCATTATAACGGAAGCTGCATCAGATTGGTACGACTTGGCGAGCGTTCCCGACTTGGTTCGGTACAAGCTCCAAGTCAAGGGTTGAAATGTGGAGAGTTAATACTCGAAGTACCAAAGTGCCGCATGTACAGACGTACATACGACAAAATCTGAAGCTGCTGGCATTGAGGTCAAGCAGGGTCCAGTAGTGACATGCTGTATGACGTCAACTTGCATATTTTTCTATTCTTCATTTATAGATATATATTTCTTTAGCTATAATTTGACATGGTTTATGTGATCGCGTTGCATTTGAGGAAAATATTTGAGTGAATTTGGTACTTCGAGCCTTGACAATTAGAAAATCTGGAGCAGCTGGCATTGAGGTCAAGCAAGGTCTAGCAGTGACATGCTGCGTGACGCCAACTTGCATTCATTTTCTAGCTTGATTTATATATGTATTCATATCTTTAGTTACAATTTGACATGGTTTATGTGGTCGCGTGGAATGTTGCACTTGAGGCAACTATTCGAGTGAATTCATTCGAAACTTTCCTTTTGAGTCCAAATATGACATTATTCACATTCTGTTTCATTTGTCAATTCATTCTGCTACTGATTTTTGTGATGTCGTGGCGCGTGGATTGTCACACGAATCAATGCACAACTTATTCTATATTATCTTTTCTTCGAGAAGGGGTGGAAAATTATTATCCATCTCTGCGCATGTCTCATGTGTATACATACATGCACAAAGTGGAAGATAATCAAACTGTAAAGCTCCGATCATGTGAAATCTAGAAAGCATGTCGAAGTCTATAGGGATGGGAGGAGTATTGGATTTGAAAGACAGAAGAAGTTTTCTCAAATTGAAGGTTCGAACTTACGTTATTAGATTATGGTGTTTTTAGATACTGAGGTTCTCTTTGTCGATACAAAATTATAGGAAAAAATTTCTCAGTAAGTTACTACTATAATAAAGTAGATTTCAAGAACAAAAATGAATCTCGATATCAAAAATAGATAGAAAAAACAAAACCAAAAACTGTGCTCAAGCTCTTGAGTTCGATAGTTGATGCGTTGACCAAGTCAAACAACCGTTTTGTCTTTAAAAACTAGACTGCAATTGACTCGGTTTCAGAAATTTGCATCTATCACTGGGAGGTCGTTTCTCGTACTGTCTGCATGTACAGTACTGGACTTTGATCTTCATGAACTGGTTTAGCCACGTCATACTCATATGTTTTTTTCACTTACACTCATTCCTTGTAAACAAAATTATTATTCAGAGTGTATCTAAATGTTGGATCAAAGCACCAAAAGCCTGATTTCCTAGAATGAGCACACCGAATCAAATCATCAAGCAGTATACGTTATGAACACGGATTGAAGCAGATATCCATGTTGATACAGTATACTATACTGCCACCATGAAAGAATACATATTCGATACTCTACATTTTTTGATGGTATCAATTCCTGACTTGTGGTTTTGGTAATGTGGCATATCGATCGTGTGTTATAGAACAGATAATGTCGTCAAGTAGAAATTCCCCCTGGCCGGATATCAACTTGGATGAGAAGTTGGGTTGCAATGTCAACTTATTCTTGCACAGTCTTAGAGGTCGTATCACGTCGGCAGATACTTAGACGGGGTTCACAGAAGAATGTTTGTCCGGCTTTAGTACGACTCAGTAGCAAAATGCAGACTTTGGTCCAACGGCGGTAGCCCAACGGACTCCGTCTAATGATCAATCAAAGCGTATAATTTTATTTGCAAGACTTAATTTCCTCAAAAGTTCGTTGGGTGACGCCACGGACAATCCAAGTTCCCGCTGCAGTTTTCTGCTACACGTGCGCTGCAAAAATGGAATCTCTTGGAGCAGAGGAGATGAAGCTTCTTATGAATTATGATGCTGTTTAGGCACGGATTTCTTGTTCAACAAAATGACTCTAAATTTTGGACCATTCCAGTATTGTAAAGGAATTTCGAAAGTGTGATTTGTACATCCAGCCGTAGCTTCCATGTAAGCTTCTGATGGCATCGCGTAAATTTTAGCCTTCAGCGGATGGGCTTGCTCGTTGGTGTTGATTGTTGGTACACAATCCACATATTTGTCCAGGTACAGTACTGTTTTCATTATGTACTTGTCAAAGCGCTTAATAATGAAATTCTCACTTTGAGAGAGGGATTGTTTTACTTACTTTCTCTTCCACTACTACTACTGTACTACCGCTAAGGGCGTGTGTGCATGGCCAAGTAAATATAGCGTCGAAAGTCAGAAATAATGTCAAGTCAGAGTCTGTGGTCCGTGTGACGGACCCTGGTTAAGAGCCCCACTTCTTATGTAAGTAAGTACAAGAACTAATTAGTTGTTGTTTCATCTTGTAAACTCTTGCAGATTATAGATGTACCTAAAATTGCCTGCCAAAAAAACAACTTCCTATTGAGAAACAAAAGTCCCATTATCTAGTTCTTTTTCACTTGAATTTTAATTCATCCTCAAGCTTCCAATCATAGTAAGTCTAACAATATTGCATTACTTCAACTGGTAAATTTAAGTAGCATAGGTGGAACGATGCTATTTTATAGGTATTCAGCATTCATCTGAAAGTTTTAGTTTCACAGGGGACAGCTTTCTTTAGTCGAGAATTTCAAACTAGAGTAGCCACCCGTTAAAGTAAGCATATTTTTTCCCAAAAAATGGGAATCAATATCTATATTGTTCAAAATGTCATAAATTTTCATTCATTCATTGAAGATTCTTGTGTTTTGCAACCAATTTTTGGTTGTGTTTCTTCATCTGGCAATAGGAGGCTGCATTTAAATAGTAGTAAAACAAAACTAGCCGGTGTGGATCATATTGTAAGCGTTTTCAGATAATATTGTGCAATAAATAAACACGTATCAGTCGTCTAAAGCCTCCAGAACTCCACTTTCGGATTTGTTGACTTTAGGTACCTCTCCAAGAAGCACCAACTTTTCGCTTTATGATTGATTCAGCCGAAATTGATAAACTTAATGTAAAATTTTTTGCTTTGGCGATTGAGGAATAGAAAAATTGACCCTACACATGCTGTGTTACCAGATGTAAAGCATTTCTTCAGACTCCATGAAAAAAACCAACAAGATCTAAAAAACTTCTTTTTAGGTTCATCAAATATTTAGTCAGATCTTTTTAGCATTTGCTCCTACTCGTCTCATAAACTTTTCATAGCTGCTTTGTACTCGGGAGCTAGAACCCTTTTACAGTAAGCATAGGTGTTGCTCAAATTATAACCCATCGCTAAGATTCATTGAATAGTTTAGTTTTTGTTTCTTTGGTTCCAATTTTAAACCCAGGAAAAGATCTGAAAGTTATATATGATTCTCTCAAAAGTTTACTTATTATTGTTTCTACTATGTCTCGTAGAGAGAGAGAGTAGAACCTTGATGACTATTCCTTCACGAGAACGAATATGGGATTATATATATATATACTCCCGTGTGAAATGCTAGTTAAATAAACTGAGTTCCAAGTTCTCCTATCGATTGTCCGATAATAATTCTAACAACTTCTCCCATTTCGATTGCGAAGTGATTCGCCTAATTACGCACCTACGGGATAAGTAAGCATAATCCTCCCAGATCAAGGTGAGTACTTAGTCGGGAGACTACTGTCCCTGAACATCACCTTGCGGACTCCTCGAATTCTTGCAAGCTCAGTATCCGTGGAGGTTGTATCTGAAGGGCGAGCATGAGCACAGGTATAAATTGGCACAATGCTAGCTAATTCTTCAATACAAACATCGCCCACCAACTGCGTTTCATAGTCATCAGAATCTACTCTCACTCACTTGATTTTTTCCCATAGTCCTGAGTTCTCACCAACTATGGCAAACTCACTCTGGATTCAGGCAGTTTTCCTTATGGCAGTCATCTTTCGTGAATTCGCCTCGGGTGAGATTCCCCCACAATGCTCCTACGCTGTTCTGAGACTTCCAATTCTCATATGGGAAAAGATCTGCAGCTGAACCTGCACGTTGTATATGTCGAGCATTATGCGAGATGACTGAGTCTCCAAATATTTAATCTCTCTTGTACATTCTTATACTGCATCTGCTTACAGAAGTACATTACCGATGTTGAATTTCGGCGTTGCGTTTCTCCTGTGCAGGTTGTGTTGTCACAATCCAAAACAACTGTGGCTATTCAGTGACAGCATGCGCTCAAAGTGGAAAACAAAACATAGCTCAGTATAATCTGGGTTCGGGAGGCTCGCAAGGCATTGATCTGGGATCGGCCTGCAACTGGCAAGCTGCAGCTGTATACGCCTCAGTGACAGGACAGTGTGCAGTTTCTGGGATACCCAACGCATCTACAGATCGAAACTTGGCCAACCCGGCTGAATTCACCATCCCCGGCCCAAATGGATTGGATACTTACGACATCAGCAACGTCGTAAGTAAATTTGTACTTTGTTTCAGTTAATTTTCGTATTACCAACCAATGTGATGGGTTTCAGGATGCCCTTCTCGTAACAGCAATTTCTTAAGCGGAGGTGGGAATTTCTTAAACTGAAACTTCCCACTGGTCTGAATCTTGTTACAGAATGCCTACACAATTGGCTTGGCCATACGCCCCGCGAACCTAGGTTGCAAGTCCATAAGCTGTGCCATTGCTGACATCCGGTAAGCAAACCGCTCCGTATAGTTGGGTATTGGACTCTCGTGTCAACTTGCTAGATGTATAGTGGAAATGTATGGCCATCGATTTGCCAATGAGAAATTTCACCATGTGATTGCAATGAAGGATGAGAGGACAACAGTCTGAGACTGAGTTAGCTGATCCCGAAATCTCTTTGACTGCAGTGCTTTCTGCCAACCGAAAAACGTCCTACAGACTCAACCTAGCGGCGCCCTCTCTTGTGTGAACACCGATGGACCTGGTGGTTTGGTGCCTACTGCCGGAACGATGCAGTTCAAAAGTGCATGTCCCGATGCTTACAGTTACAATCATGACGATGCTACTTCCACTTTCACTTGCGTAACGGGCACTGACTACGAGGTCGTCTTCTGTCCCTAGAAGTGTAATGAGCTGGATCTGTCGATAATCGGAGGTGTTGAAAATCTCCGCTGCTATCCATCCATCGACCCTAGAATTCTGGATTAGTTACAAGGCTGATGTGGGAAACTCATAGGCCACTCTTTGTATTCAAACTGATCGTACGTGCAGTTGGCGAGATACCTTCATGGTTACATGGTTATGCTATAAGGCAGGTGCTCAATAATATATGATGATATTTGAGATTGTTTTGAAGAATATGAAGCATATGGTGGATGCATGATTATTCTTCAAGGCTGGTCATGGATAATATATGATCATTATATTATAATAAGAGTTTAACTGGAAGATCTTCTCTGAAAGGAGAGATTTAAAGGACAGCAGTCAATCTGTACAGCAAGAGAAAACTCATGAACTCTCTCCTATAGTTAACATTGACGAAAAAATATTTCATTGGGCAAATTTCCGGTTCATGTGCTAGCAATTTCTGAGCTGTTCAAGTAAGTCATCGTGATCTTCTTCCGCCCCAGTTTCCCTCCGACCATTACTCAGGCAGACTCGTTTGGACACGGTCTGAACCTACTTCAGTTTGAGACTGGATTACTTTCTTGTGCTGAAGAATGCAGTCGTTGACTTCCTGTCAAACAAATCATTGTCGAAAGGCCAGATCGAAGCCACTTCACAACAACGCTGACGAGATGAAGTTCTGTGGACTCCCAGTTTCCCGACGACCAGTTCTCTGTACCGTCAGACTACTGCCAAATGCAGTTTGACATCGGCTTACGTTGTTTGTGCCGAAGAGCCGTGATCAATGCCACTCTATCGCTCCACATCACACATCACGGAGTAGGATGATCCACAATCGTCCGACTCGGATATTTGACTTTCTGATTACCGAGCATGCGATCTTTCGGCAATTGATGTTCACTTCCAGTAGCATGCAGGTTTCGGAGCAGTCACCACCGAATTATTCTTTCCAGCCCACGCCTCTTCAATTCGAGCCATTCCTCGCCATGGAAAACATCAAGGCGTCTTCTCTGTTAAGTTCCTACTCTCAGCTTCGTGTCGTTGCTTGATAATTCCGGCTTTGACATCCTCCGCCAAAGTTTTGATGCTACGTTAGGATCTATGGTAATGGACAATCATCGTGCACATGACTGCTTGAGTGAGTAAACGCAATGATATACTTATGGATGATATTGAGTTGTTCCCACCTTACTGGGATCGTCCCATTCTGTTTGATGCCTGTAGTCGCTACAGGCATTGTTCGATTTTGGATGCTACAGTGTAGCGTCCAAAATTGTATAACATAATCGAACATCTCGACTAGAATTGGAAGAGCTTCAGGTGTCTCAGATCGCGTGATCTGTCATGATCGTGTATGGCGTGAACTGTGCCGAAAGTTTATGTGTGTGTGGCTTAAATAGCTAACGACTTGTATACCAGTAGCGGACCGAGTACCTCTAGATACTAAGCGTAGCGTGCGTCTGTAGTTTGTATGAATGTTCGAGAGATCTTTCTGAAATGTCAAAAGTTCAACCCCATGTTCTGGTAGACAAGTCCCATGAATCGGTATTGCGCCGTCGACCGCGTTTCAAATCAGTAAATTATGTTTACAGTTCGTTTGTTTCGTCAGTTTCTTGAATCCACAGTTCGTTCCAAGATACACTTGGGAAGGTGTAATGTACACTTTAACATGTCACTTACTGGAGTACTTGAGGTTGGATTGGGTTATGTACCATTTGAGCTCTCCTAGTTTACGGTTTATGTAGACTAGATTTGCTTCAGTCGTACCATTCCCAAAAGAGTAAAGAGTTAGAGTCTCTTCCATCACATTTGATTTCGAAGTGTCATGTGACTCTGATGATGTTCTTCGTCCCAAGATTCCTACTAGCACATAACAAGAAATAAGATAAAAACATGAAAAAATTAAATATAATCTATATATCCATCTATGTTAGTCATTCTAGAATGATAAAAAACGATTTGTTCGATAGTTTTTCAAAATTTATTTTTCAAAGTATTCATCTATGAAAAACAGAATAGCCTATTGAGATATAGATTAGTACATGTAACAACAAAATTATTGATTCTTCTTTTACGTATTCTCAAGTTAATGTAATGGTCAGCGTTATAAATAATTCAAAGATTTAGATGTAGCAAATTTATCTACTTTACCATTTATTACAAAAGTTTAAAGTTCGAATATTAAACAAAAGGATGAGGTATTGAGACTCGTGGATTTTAGCTCAATCAATCCTTGCTATTGTAAATATAGTGATGAGCCTTAACCTATTATGACCAGATGTGACGTACATCCACGTGTGAGTGGTTCTGCATATATGAATGGTCCAGATTTGGCCGGTGTGCTTTAGAGATGAGTATAGAGAGGTCCATATGCATATAGAGCATGCCTCTCCATATAGAAAACTTTTGGTATGTTCCTCATTTCAACAAAATAAATATTATCATCAAAACAAAATACAAAATATACGGAAATTTGAGTACACTTTCGATAGATATGGGTGTTTTCTTTGATATGTGAAGATATTTTTCTCATTTCACCGACGAAAAATAGCTTTCTAACGTATCAATGTATGGAAATCCTCCTAAGAACTCCATGAGTAAACCAAATGCTTGGAGCTTGGAATAGTCCAAACTTCACTAAAATCAGATAAGATTTGTCTGTCAAACGATTTAAGGCATAGCTAAGACATATGCCCAAAGACCAAAAGCTGCTTGTGGATGATCACTATTTGATAAATGTAATTTTTTACCAAGAAACTTTAGAACTATCTTGATATTTCAGAACTACATCCTGTTGTAATCAAAGATCCAAATTCATGAGGTAAAAAAGGAGTCAAAGTGTTGGAACTTTCCTGGTTGAACTTCAACTTTGTTTAGATTGCGAAGTGGTTGAAAAACATGCAAAACTTCAAGTTAATCCAACCAATCAATTTCAACAAGTTTTTCGGATGATTAAGGATAACGACTTGCAATGCACTGTAACATGTGTTTCGGTTCAAACGAGTTTTGCGACCCTCCAACTTTGCAAAGTCGCTTTGTAGTGGACTCTCGCTCTGTAGTCGCTTTGTGGTGGAATTCATCGGAGATCAGGCATCAGATTACCAAAATTGCAGTTCAATTAAATAATGTTGCGCCTTCTAATCCGAAACAACTATATAAGAGCTTTTAACAACAGAAACGGTGTGACTGAACTAGAATGTTGAACTTTTATCATTGTCTAGTTACGCCACGTAGATGAGGAAAAAAAAAGTATTTTTCGAAATAAAGAACTTCCAAATACGGAATATATGGAACTACATTGACGGATTTTTTGAGATGCTTATCCATATGTCTCAACTTACAATTTGCAGTTCATGATGTTAACAATACATTTCATGAATGCGAAGTAAAACTGTTGATGTAAAACTACGTGTTAACTGTACAAATGCAGTAGTGATAGGTCTACATACTGCTGAATTAAAAGCCTTTAGCTTAAAAATGTACCCAAAAATAATGAAGCAAACACACGGTCTTTTCTTGAACTCCAAAAAGATTTTATTTCCTGCAACTTGGAGGGCATCCGAACTTTCTGATTGGTTTGTATAAGTGGATATGGGGAATTTTCTTCTTTGAAAAGCACAAGTGCCCCAGAAATTTTCGTACAGCATTTCTAAGTTTACGTGCCACATCTTACTTCTCGACAGGCCCACAGTCTGATCACGTCAGCAGATACTGCGATCGGAATTTTTGTCGTGAATCAATGGCAGAAATGTGGTACCTCATTTCCCAATTTGGTAGTACGGCGGTAGCACCACTGATTCATGTAATTATTACACACGCAATGACTGTAACTTCATGTCCACTCCATACTTGCCAAAGAGGTTCATTTCGGCTGTAGGTTGCTGTTTTCAGCTGTCCAAAGTAAGTCCAAGAACTGCTTGTAGTTTTGTAGTTGTCAAGCTCTCGATGATAAGGAGATCTATGTATCTCTGAAGCTTTTATGCTCGGTCTTCCACTACGACGGCTAATATGCATTTCCAGATGAGGTACTTCGTCCACTCTCAGAAGTAATAGAACGTGTAAGGTAGGCATCTACGGGGAAACCTTCTCAGTACACAGTTATCAAATTTTTAATGCTACTAAAACTTAATGGTACTCTAAATTCAAATTTTTAAGTTTTCAGATCTGATGTTCTTCAACGATTTCAGTACAGATGTAAAGCAGGTATAATCTTCTTTCCAATTGCATTAGTGGTGATTTCGAACAGATTGGCTACTTCGATTGTTGAGTCAATGCACAGAAAAGAAAAAGTTCAGAACATTAGCCAAAGAGCTCCATCACGTCTGCGGTTTGATTAGAGAAATTACGTGATATTGAGGCAGCCACGTTGTGCTTGATTTATCGTCGATAATGGCCCCACAACGCTAACGATATAAGTATGAAATGCGGCTGCAGTTGACAGAAGCAAGGGGATGATTTGCAATGTCTGATTTGCCTGTACTGCCAGCCTCATCTTGAAAACACCATGTAATAAGATGACCTAAGGTAACCTTATAAAGGTGACACCGGTAGTGAGACATAGAGAAGCCAACTTGAGGTTTAGATATCTTGTCTGTTGTTGATATTGAAGTGGGATTTGATTGTCATTTTTCACCCATGAATAATCATAATGAGTTAATGCAAGATTATCTTAACAAAATTGAGGATTTGATACAATCAGTGGATTCACGTTACATACATATCATATCATTTAACAATTTTTTACCATGTGGATTCATCCTTTACATCAACACTAAGGAGAGACGAAAAATTAGTTGAATTAGAACAGGTAAAAATCTCAGTATCTATCAAGAAGTTCATTGCATGATTAAGAATAGACCTAAGAGATGGAGTGACAAGACACAAAGTTTGCAAGAACTTTTCATAAAGTGTTTTGTAATAGGACTACAAGCAAATGTGTTGGTTGAATAGCGTAACTCATTTGAAATTAGAGATACATGCTATCATATGTTGGTATCAACTATTGGACGGGAGATTGATTCATGCAGTTAGAGATGTAACTACAATGTAGATTATGGCATTATTACGTTTTTTCTTGATTAATTTGTTGAATTCAAAATCGTTGAATAGATTGTCATGATAACTAACTTCTAACAAGTATTGCCCAACTTCATCCATTCCCTTGAATGTGAATCCGTTTTGGTTATGTTAGACATTATGTATAATGCCTATAATCTTGACAAATGTCAAAGTTCCA